ATTACACACTGTAGCTTTAATTTTTGTATAACAAAGAGACAGAAGTGAAATAATTGAGCACTGGTCTGCTCGCCCTGCCTAGTCGGAGCCTCTATATAACTATGCTTAAACGTTCCCGACGCGCTGCTTCAGCTCCTCAGACGCGCTGTGCCTGCTGCTCAAAATGCGCTGCGCGACATTTTGCTGCGCCTTGACGCGCGTCAACCTTTGACTTTGCATGTAAACTCCTGCTGCGTCCGGTGTGAAAGCGGTTGAAGTTCCTTTGTCAGACCTCCCGCAATAACAGCGAGCACAGCGTTCATTTGTTTCCCCATGTTTTTCACATCGGCTGTGAGATGGGCAAGCATGGAGTCACAGATTGCGCCTTATAGTCGTGAAAATACGGTATTTGCTGGGGTACATTTTAAAAAATAAATCTCAAATGTCTTTTTCCATTTTATTTAAGTAAAAGGATGAGCAGTGTTAAAGAAGAAAATGAAAATGCAAACAGGATGATTGATTACTAATTTCATTTATGAGTCAATTAATGCAGCCACATTCTTAAAGGGAAAAATCATTTCTGGAAATGCCTTTTCATTGAAATATGGTAACGATTTGCTCCCATAATCCTTAGGCTGAGCACGGCGTCACGCTCTATTCTGGTTTATGTTTTTCCCAGGACCCATTTGGGGAGAAGCGTGGTTGTTTCGATTACCAGAGCCTGCTGGTTCGTCTCGGCGCCACTCACAGGCGAATACGGGAAAAGAGCTTGGCGGAGGACACTCGCAACGACAACAACTCGGACTCGGATACCAGCTCCTCTGAAACGGACCTGGACAGCCAGGGCAGCTCCCAGCCCTGACTCCACGCCGCCGGCCTTGGACTGATTGGATTCTTTAGTTTGCCTCTTTATTTTCCTTTTAACTTTTCAGCGGCGCCAGCCGTCATATTCTAACGGTCCGTCATCGTTCATGGATCCAGAGTTCATTGCCGAGTTCTTCTCCTGTTGTGTGCTGACAGAAAGTTGGTCCACTGAGAAGGCCACGAGGGTTTAATGTTTAACGCTTGTTTAGAGATAATCCGATACCCTGAACTCGATGTTCACTCGGATTCTCCCAAAAAAAATAAACCCAGTAAAACTTTAGATTAGTTCCCAGAGGAAATGGTGATGTTATCTGCCAGAGGAAAGGCCGACAGGTGAAACTTATCCTACAAAACGTCACTGTGGCTTAAATACGCCGCCGCAGCAGAAGTCTGCCAATCCTTCATGGCGTCTGCCGTCCTTCATGGCGGCCTTGTTTTGGGTTTTAGAGGTGAGGAAGACCCTTAGCTGGATTAAAGATGTGGGCCGGTGAAATGATGTGCCTTGTCATCGCTGCAGAAAAACGATCTTTGGATTTAAAAGCCGTGTTGATGAATCTGTGAAGCTCAGATCTTTGCTGTTAACAATAAATCAGAAGCAGATCATCAGATGTAGATTGGAGCCGTTTTAACGTCTGGTTTTCCTCCGTGATACCAGGAACATTTCCTGAATATCACTGCTGGAAAACGTCTTTCCTGTCATCCTGATGCATTTTTTTTTTTTTTGGCATGTTTTTCACGATCGAGTGTTTCAACGCGAACTGATTCAAATATTGGTGGAAAAACGTGCAGTTTTTCATTAAAGGCTTTTTGTTAACAGACGATCCAAACCTTCACGTCTCTGTTTGTCCCAAAACACTCGAGACAAACGCCTTTCTCCCGTCACGCATGGAGGAAACGCGGCTCCACATCTCAGAAAAAAAAAGGTCTCACTTGGTGGTGGTGGTGTGATGGTCTGGGGTTGTTTTTCTGGAAGACTTGTGGAACCATGAATCCTGCTGAAGGTCTGAAACAGGACGATGATCCACGAGGTACCAGCAGGTTAGCTTCTGATAGCTGAAGGAGAAACAGCCTGGAACAGCCTAGTCCAAGTCCTGCCTGGAATCCCATAGAGATGCTGCTGGGTGATCTAAAAAGGCCTCCAATGATGCTGAGATCCAGCAGAAATGATTGGTCCAGAACTCCAACCAGCTTTTAGGTTTAACTTCTCTCCTAATCAACCTGCATCCTGGATGTTCCTTTAGTCTGAACTAGATGACATCACCAGTTTAAAGCTGCTTACGAAGCTCCCTGAATCAATTATGGCACCTTACAGGTTTATTATGATACGTTTCTGCAGTTTTCACTTTATTTTTGCTCCATTTCTTTAGCATTTTGTATTCTTATAACAACACAGTGAGAATGATGCTGAAAAGGTAACGGAGTCGGGCACGTCAGCTGTTTCCCAGCTGAGGAATAAAAAAAGAGGAAAAGTCAGATCTAATGAGATTGGAGGTGTTGAGTAGTTTATTAAAGTTGCAACGAAGATGGATGCATGAATAAGTCCTACCAGCAGATGGCGGCGTACAGCAGCGCCCCAACAGACAGACAATCTTCTGGGGCCAAAAACATGTTTATTGTTTTATTAGAATATAATATACTGTAAAGAAAATGCCCCAGAAATCAATCAGGATGAAAGCGAACATTTTTCACACCGCTGTATGGTGTAGTAGAATTCATTTGTTAATAATCTTAGTTTTTTCCTACTGAGATAGAAACCAATAATCCAGTTCTATTGATCGAAGAAGGTCAATAGGAAAGAAAACACTGCTGGTGGACGAGCATCCTGTTCAAAGCAAAATAATTCATTTCAAACGGTGCAAACTGGACTTTTTAATAGAATGTTTAGAAAACATTTAAAAAAGAAATATTATTGACAGAAGTCCTTAAAGTTAAGATTATTTTAGATTAATTGAAATGTGGTCCGGTTGATCTGGTGGATATTTCTCCTTCGTTTCCCAGGAAAGTTATTCACCATCTCTTTCCCATTTCTATAGAGGATTTAGCTAATTCAATTATGACTTACGTCTCTAAAAATCAAAAGAAACTTTGTGTTTTTCATCATAGGTTTATTTTTCGGACTAGAAAAACAAATAATCTGAAGAAATTAAATCTTCCTAAAGAAATTTGGACCCATGAAGGATTTAATTTGGACATGAATTACTTGCAACTAATGATTCTTTTGAAAATCCATTAATCTGTCAATTATTTTTATGATTATTTGATAATCAGATAGCAAAAGGTTCCTTAAAGAAGATATTTTTCTAAAATTAAACCAGCTGAAACGGAAGTTTTCCACTTGAGGAGTTCCTGGTAGAACGGACGGGGAAAAAAAAAATTAAATCTGAAATGCAAATATTTTATTTTTTACAATTTTAATATAATTGCTGCTCTAAGTGGGTCGCTCTGTCAGCTAAAGACGCTACCAGAAAGAGCAGAGCCTTAGTGATTGAACTAACAAATAGATAAAATGATGAAAAGGGGTCCCTATGTCCTCCAGCAGTCTAAACCTATAGCAGCACAAATGCAAAACTTGCTATAATTCCTGCTTTAAGTGGGTCCCTCTCAGCTAAAGGACATTGTTTCAGCCCTACCTGCAACTTTAAATTTCTATTCAAATGAAACAGCTCTAAAGTTTTAAACACCTGAAATATGAAAAGGCTTACATCTCTAAGAGGCAGAGGGAGAGAGAACAGCTTTCTTCTGAAGCACAAAAATTAATATATATTCTATTAAATTCCTATTTGTCTAAATTAAAAGGAAAGAATCGTTTATTAAGCTTTTCTTTTTATTAACTTTTGTTCCGTTTCCATAGAAGTAGGAGGGAATGAATGATGCTTCTGCAGCTTTGAGAAATGGAAAATGGCCTGAAGCTGAAGGTTTGCTAGCTGTAGTTTCCTGGTTGGATTTAGACTGAAGTCAGACTTCAGGTTTAAATAATCAAGACAAACTCCGGATGGGTTAGTTTAAATCCCTCCCTTTCTATGAGGTTTGCTGTGGGCTGCCCCATTGATTCCAGTTCACCTGCTGAACTAATCCAAGCCTTTCCTCCTCGATTTCTTTATTTCCTTTCTAAATTGTTATCTAAAGCAACTTACAGGTTATTCACAGATTATTATAAAGTGGAAGAGAGCTGCCTTTGAGCAGACGGGGGTTAGATGGGGTTCTTCTAGATTTAAATCTGGATCGATGAAAATTACTTTCAAAGCTCTGAACTCATTTTTTATGGTACTTGTCTTAAAGTGCAGAATAAAGTGTAATGAAGTCCAAATGACTATGACTCCTTTTTTTTCCTCACCTTCTTCCTTGCTGTGTTATGAGGATTTACCATTAGGCAATACCAGGGAGTTACCTAGGGCCCCAAGTTCCTGGGGTTCCCATACTCTGTTTCTATGTATGGTTAATACAACTATTCCTGATTTGTGCACATTAATTGTTTTTGATAAAAATCCTTTGGCTAAAATGTCATCAGAACGCTGATAATATTAAGTGTGTCTCAGCCCCCCCCTTCAGTGTCCACCATATTGGATCAGTCCATTTGCTGCACATGTTCAGAAAGGTCCAAACAGACAGCAGCAAACCATTTGAAAACAAACCATGCAAAGAGCAGTGTTGCCAACTTAGCGCTTTAGTCGCTATATTTAGCCACTTTTCAGACCCCTCTAGCACTTTGATTTCTAAAAAGCTCCTAGCGCCAAATCTAGAGACTTTTTTCTGCTACTGGAGACTTTGTAAATTAAAAAATTAACTTTTTGTTAATTTAGAAGTTAAGTATTCAGTTGACTAGCTAGCTAAAGAAGGAGTCCTATCGGGCCTTTTTGACCTGTGGGACTCCAGAAGCAGCTGACATGTGCCGGCAGTCAAAGCGTCCGGTGGCTCGGCTGGTCTCTGAGACATAAACTCGGGGTGGGAAGAGTTCCGTACGGCTTTAAGGCGATTCTGGTCCACAATCCGTCGTCTCAGGAGGGGGAAGCAGTGCAGTACCACACTATTTATAGTGGGGGGGCTGCTGCTGACCTCGACTCGGGACGTTCTATGTCGGTGGGCGGAGTACTTTGAAGACCTCCTTAATTCCACCAACACGTCTTCCATTGAGGACGCAGAGCCTGGGGGCTCCGCCTCAGCTTCTCCAATCTCTGGTGCTGAAGTCACTGAAGTGGTTAAAAGGCTCCCCAGTGGTAAGCCCCCAGGTGTCCATTGCGTGGACATCAGGGGCAGTTCCCCTGGATTGGCAGACTGGCGTAGTTGTGGAGTGTGTTCCAACTACAGAGGAATCACACTCTTAAGCCTCCCTGGTAGGGTCTATTCCGGGGTTCTGGAAAGGAGGGTCCGTCGGATAGTCCAATCTGGGATTCAGGAGGAGCAGTGTGGTTTTCGTCCTGGCCGTGGAACACTGGATCAGCTCTACACCCTCAGCAGGATCCCTGAGGGTGCATGGGATTTTGCCCAACCAGTCTACATGTGTCGTTTATCTGGAGAAGGCATTCGACTGTGTCCCTCGGGGGTCCTATGGGGGGTAGTCCGGGAGTATGGAGTACTGGCCCTTTAATAGCTGTTAGGTCTCTGTACAACCGGTGTCAGAGCCTGGTCTGCATTGCCGGCAGTAAGTCGGACTCGTTTCCGGTGAGAGTTGGACTCCGCCAAGGTTGCCCTTTGTTACCGATTCTGTTCATAACTTTTAACCACATGGCCCCTGTTTCCTGGGCCTGGGAGCGTCTTGGGGTTCCCCCGGAGGAACTGGTCCAAGAGGCTGAGGAGAGGGTCATCTGGGCCTCCCTACTGAAGCTGCTACCGCTGCAAACCGACCCTGGATAAGTGGAAGAGGACGGATGGGTCGGTATTGACCTCCTTTATGTGCTAACTGATTTTTGCATTGTTTTGGATTTTGTTTGTTTTTGGGTCAATTAGCCTTCTGTATCTCTGCCTCACTGCTGGATCCCTGACAGCTGGAAACACGCAGATCTGGCAGTGAAGGCTGGGTGGGCTTTGCTAGCTGTACTTTTAAGAATTGAGAATCATTTCTAGCATCAGCGCTGGAGGTTTTATTTCAAAATAATGTTCATTTAAAGTATTATATACTGATTTATCTTTATAAACTGGTTATACTTTATGTACCGAGGCTTAGCAGCTGTGTTTACCCGCCACGCTGCGGTCATATTAGCATCACCCTCCTGCTCAGGGTCTGACCCTGTAGGCTAGAGGTCGACTCTGGATGGTCCTGACCTGGAAGCTGTGATGCCTTCATGTCCCTCAGCATCACTACTCTGAGCTTTAACTTACATGGCTTTACTTCACCTGGTTGATTAGGTTACTTCTGCTCTAGAAAATAGTTTGGATTATCTTCTTAGACTTTTAAAAGCATTTAAATTTGAATTTACTGAAAGTCATCAATGTTATTAGCATAATTACACAGATATGGTTTCTTAAAAGTGGTTATCAACTTATGTTTCCAATATATTTAACTCCATTTAGGATTCATTTTCAAGCAGATCTAAATTAGAAGTGTCCTGCTGTGGAGTTTTATTGATTGCTAATAACTCAGAATCACCTGGTATGTTTTACTGGCGTGTTTTTTTGTGTTAATATTAGTTATGTATCTGCAGCAGGTTTTTATGTTTGCAGCATGATGTTTTCCACAATGCTGCTAATCTGTTTTCTGCCTTTGCAGCTTCTTTCCTCTTCTGTAATGATCTCAAAGGAAAAGTCGCTCATATTCAGAATTCAAACTTCTGAAAGTTCT